TACTTAGCTTCTTTATAGTGAAACAGGATTCTTATCCATGTAGAACAACTTTGTAATATGTTTGAGGCAGATACTGTAACAGATTGCATCAAACGCAAATTCCAACAGGATTTTTCAGATAAAGTATAATTATCCACTTTAAGTTTTAGCTAGGGCCATTCAGCCATATGCTTAATTTGTTCCTACTGCTTTGTAATATCTGAGTGCTTCACTGGACATTAATGGATCTAACTTCACAATAGCATTGAGATATGGTAGTATGATTAGCTTTATTATGCAAAAGCAGAACTGAGACACTGAGAAATATAAAATCCAAATTAAAATCCGTTGAGAAAAGAAAATATTTGGTCATCTTCAGCTGGCCTTGGATCACACCCAAGCTTATATACAAGACCTGGAATGACTCTATCATTGGCAAAGAGCATCTTAAGGAAAAAATTATTCTACTATGAAAGGGTAATATGATCTTTAATCAGTGCAAGTGATATGAGCTGTAGTTAAATGCCAAGAACAGTGAAACATCAGTATTTGTACTAGACAGTCACCAAGAAAAAAAAAGTCATCAGTAGTTCTCTCCTGAAGGAAAAACAGTTACATTGGGATGGTTTTTCTTACTGTTTTCTAATTGTATAGTATTTGAGTTGTGATTACAACAGAATTACTATCCTGAAAGCCTTCAGCTGTGTACCTATTAAGAGCACTTTCTTGCTGCAAGCATTTTCATAAAATGGTATCAGCAAAGAACTCCTATAGTGAATGCATCCATACATCTGTTAGTACAGTTGGTTTCACTCAGGAGAACCGTTTCCTCACACCACGAATTCATACAGCATCTCTGATAGAAGGACTGCAGGACCGATCTAACATTAGTGCACAAAATACTGTACACAGTTTGGTGAAAATGTAAATGTTAAATTGGCAATGTATTATAAAGATACTTGTGGATCTTAGCTGATATCATTTGCTCTTGGAGAATTCACTATGGACATATATTGAAGATGACACTAAGAATATTCTAATATTTTAGTAATTTTTAAGGATCTTGTTATCCTCTTTGATATTTGTAACTGTAGTGAGCTTTAGGATACTTAGCTCCAACTTCTGTCATAATTAAAAAGCTCCCTAAAACTCATTACAATTATATGTACCAGTGAAGACTACAGCAACATCCATGCTAGAAAACAAGTTATAAATTCCCTAATGAGAGAGGTCAAATAAACCGAAACCTTCAGCTCAAGGACTCATTATGTGCTATCACTCAAATAAACTCATCTGTTGGGATGCTCAGTAAATAAAACCATTATTTTTACTCATAAGAAGGGGGAAAAAAGGCAGAGTAACCTTGGTGTTCAACCATATGGGATTTCATAATTCTAAAGGATTAATTTGCACAACTGTAATGTCCCAGCAACACTGCACAACATTGTAGTACATCAGCTTTTGTAGAATAGCTCTTCCAAACCTATACTTTCTGTCACTGGCCACCTGATTCTTTTGAATGAAAGCTGACTCTTGAACCCAAGGTGCTTCCAAGGCAGCTGGATTTAAGAAGCAGCTGGTTAGTGTCTGCCTCTGGCCATCACAGCATGCTTTAAGCTGCCATTGTTCCCATTTGGCCCTATTCTTTAGATGTAGCATTATTTAGTTCTAGTGACCAAAACATCCTGCAGATAAAACTCTCACCTTCCAGCTCACCTCAGTGGTTTATTTATTCCTTTCTCACAATTTTTCTATTCTATACTGAGAGTCGTTTGACACATCCTTTGCATCATAATTATAGAATATTCCAAATAGTATTTTCCCTTTTATTTTGATTATTTGTGTGTTTGTTAAGCAATCAAAGTTATTCTAGGAGCCAGACACATAAGACACAAACCCTTCAGGGTAAACAGTGTGAGAGACCTGAAGAAAGAACTGTTCATGGAGAAAGAACAAATAATTTATGTTCTAATACAAAGCAAATCACCTTGAACTTTAAGTCAGAAATTGGTATCAGACTGTTCAGCAGATTATCAGACAAAATTCTATAAACTGACACTTCTTAGAAGAAGACTTTTGAGTTCTATCTGTACCAAATGAAACTTTTACAGAAGTTCTGCGTTGTGAACCCAAATGTTGTCATCTATAAACAGAATTTCAGCTACATCTCATAAGTTATTCTAGTATCTCTTGTTAGTGTTTTTCAGTTCATGTACTCATTTTCTGATTTTTTTTTTTGCAAAGTCATACTGTATTTTCTATCCCCCCTGTGAAACTGACATTGCATATGCTACCATTATATTTGAAAAGTTCTTGTGTGGCCTTCTCTCATCTCTTATATTCATTCCCTGAAGCGATACTAAAGAAAAATACCAGTCTGTTGCTCCTTTTCTTGAAGAAGTCTAAGTCATCAATAACTTTTTCATATTTAATATATAATCATAAATATCAATTATCCATTCCAATTCCAGTAAAAGGATACAAATAATTATCAAGGATTAAATGATTGCTTTATTCTTACAAATACCAAGAAGGTTCAAGCCATCCAAAGTCTAAAATTGTTGTGTATACAAAAGGTTCGTCAATATAAATTCTAGCACTCCTAAGAATGGCATTCCGTCTTTTTTTCTGTCACAGAAGACACTGCCTGAAATGAATGACAGTTGCAGTTGAGGTGACTGAGGTCTGAAGTGACTTAAGTGTCTCTGGTAAGTTGACTAAAGCATCTGCATTGTACTTTATAAGGAGATGAATCCAGAATTATCTAATTTCTGCATGCCAGTGTGCCAAGATAAGTCTGCTAAATGACTACATTACCTAAACTATTAGTATACTGGTAGATAACAAGAATTGGAGAGTGTCTACATTTAGCCCATATCTGGGGCTAAACTGAAGAAATTACTCTATCATCTGATGACCCCTCCCCAGATGAGAAGAGGAATTGGGAAAAGGACAGGAGATCTGAGGATGGAAGCAAGGACAGATTTAAGAAATTACAAAACAAATACAATATATACAGTTAGACTAGAATGTCTGGCTCTCACAGTCCTCAGAAGCAGAAGGAACCCCAACAAGGACTCCAGCAAGAATTTCCTTTCCTTAGCAAACCTGCCCTTTTATAATGACCATGATGTTATGGGACGGGCTACACCTGTAGCTAACTCAGGGCACCTGCCCTGGCTTACTTGAAACTCCTATGGTCTGCCTAGCATGGCTGGGTGACAATATCCCAGCCAAACCAGGACAAAGAGGCACGAGTTCTTACTGATCTCCTGAGTAATTTCTGGTTTAAACAAATCACAAAATCATGAGGGGGGACAAGAAGTTTTTGGCAAAAGCAAAGAAACAGTGATGTGAAGGCCAAAATTTAATATAGGTCTTAGTGTGTGGTAAGCCAGCCAAATCTGTTAGTCTTGCTTGTGTAGACATCAGCCTGTTTTCAAGTGGTAGTAAGTTCCTGTGGTCTCCAGGGACAGCACTGCAACAGCAGGCCATAGCCCTGCCACCTGGGCAATATGGTGGAGGACTGGTTGGAGTGCCTCGCCATGGGGCCCAGCTGGAAACGGTGGGAAGTCCTCTGCAAATCCAGGGCTACCCACAGCTGCATCAAAATGTTGTCCCTAAAAGTGGGATCTTTCACCTGGTATGCAAAACCAAGGCACACACAGTGTCAAGGAATTACTTTATTTACAGGTGCAGAGCTGGAAGCTAGGTGGTATTCCACAAAGGTAGCTTCACTGGGTACAGGAGCAACAGTCCATTGAACTTGATACAGATTACAAATAAACCTGCCCAAATTTACAGTCCCAATTTGATTGCTTCTGCGTTGCCTGTCGCTCTTTAAAGTCAGAGTACACTTGTAATTTACAACGTATGCTCAGAGAAGGGTGGGCAATAGTGAGTAGGGGGTTTCAGTTAAGTTGGTGTTTGTGATCTCACCCTGCTGCATTTACTTTTACCCAGTTACCACAGATTTTGATGACTTCATGCTTCTTCGATAATAGAATCATATAATGTTTTGGGTTAGAAAAGACCATAAATATCATCTAGTCCAACCCCCCTGCCATGGGAAGGGACAGCATCCACTAGACCAGGTTGCTCAAAGCACCACCCAACTTGGCCTTAAACACTTCCAGGGAGCGGGCAACCACAACTGAGGCAAAAACCTCATTGACTGCCTCAGCCTTCTCCATATCCGGGGTAACCAGGTCTCCCTTTTCTTTCCAGAGAGGGCCTGTGTTATTCCTAGTCTTCCTTTTCTCACTGACATGCCTATTGAAGTATTTCTTGTTGCCCTTGATGTCCCTGGACAGGTTTAATCTGATCAGGGCCTTGGCTTTCCTGACCTGATCCCTGGCTGCTTGAACGATTTCTCTGCATTCCTCCCAGGTTACCTGTCCTTCCTTCCACTCTCTGTAGACTTCCTTTTTGTGTTTGTTTGTCCAGGAGCAACTTGTTCATCCATGGAGGCCTACTGGCATTTTTGTCTGACTTCCTCTTTGTTGGGATGCATCGCTCCTGTGCTCAGAGGAGGTGGTCCTTGCATATTCACCAGCTATCTTAGGCCCCTCTTCCCTCCAGGGCTGTATCCCACTGCAGATACCTGAAGAGGCCAAAGTTTGCTCTCTTGAAGTCTAGGCTTGCTGTGCACCCTCCTCGCTGCCATAAGGATCTTGAACTCCACCATCTCGTGGTCACTGCAGGCAAGGCTGCCCTTGACCTTCACAATCTCCACCAGCCCCTCCATCTTCGTGAGAACAAGGTCCATTATAGCACCACTCCTCACTGGCTGCTCTACCACTTGGAGAAGGAAGCTATCATCAAACTATTCCAGGGACCTCCTGCATTGCTTGTGCCCTGCCCATCCATCTCTCATGCCTTCTGAGGCAGTATGTTCCCTTCTCATCACTCTTTCAGTTCCTCCTCAAGGATGCAGTCCTTAGGGAGGCTTGCATTGTTAACACAAAGTAACCAGACCTATATAATAGGACCATTTATTAGATACCTACTACCAGAGCCCCATGGGAGAGATATTTAGCTGCAAGAATGAGTTGAGCCGGTTCCTGGGCCCCGTCCGGGACAGCCGGTTCCTGGGCCCCGTCCGGGACATCGGCAACTTTGACTTCAATCATGGGCTGGAGCTCTCCCGGTGCCCCAGGGAGGAGCAGCACCAGCAGCACCTGTGGCAACATCAGCACAGCCGGCACCTGGAGCGCCCTGGGGCCCACAACCCCACTGGACTGGCGCAGTGCCTGGACCCTGGCTGCACCCGCCCTGCCAGGTGCCCCTCCAACTACTGCAGCAAGGGCTGCGGCGTCAAGCTGGCCACCAGCCATATCTACGAGATCCTTCCACAGCCGATCCAGCAGTGGCAGCAGATCGCCTGCATGGAGGACGAACATGGGAAGCGGCTGCTGAGGCAGATCCAGCAGGAGCAGCACCAGGCCCGGCTCCATCTGCAGGAGATGGAGCAGCACTTCCATGAGCTGGAGGGGCTGATTGCCCATTCCAAAGGGCACCCGCCCCACAAGCATAAGGACAGCATGGAGGGTGACAGTGAGGACACAGACTTGCACATCTTCTGTGTCTCCTGCAGCCACCCCTTCAACCCCACGGTGTCCCTGCGCTACATGGAGCACTGCTATGCTAAATACAAGGGTCAGACCTCCTTCAGCTCCAAGTACCGCACCCACATTGAGGGAGCCACCTGCCTCTTCTGCAACATCTACAACTCGGAGAAAAACCTACTGCAAGCAGCTGCAGGTGCTGTGCCCCGAGCACTCACAAGACCCAAGGTGCTGGTGGATGAGGTGTGTGGGTGCTTGCTGGTGAGGGACACCTTCAAGCCAACGGGAATTCTGCAGCATCCCGAAGTGGAAGTGCCACTGACAATACTGCTGGCAGAAGCTGTGCCACGCTGAGGTGGACCCAAAGCATGTCCCCCTGTGGTACAAGCTCGACAAGCTCTTTGAGCAAGAATGCAATGTCTGGCCTGCTATGACCAACCAGGCGGGGCTGCTGGCCCTCATGCTGCACCAGGCCATCCAGCATGACCCCCTCACCACCCAGCTGTGCTCTGACTGCTGATCCTGCCCCCGGATGCCTGGTTTCCCCCTTGGTCATCTGGGTACCCTTCCAGATGCCTGGGTCCCCTCCGAACACCAATCTCTCCCATATGTCCCTTCCCCAATAAAATGGGTGTCAATGGAAAAAAAGAAGATGTAGGCTCGGTGGTCACAGTTTGATGGTTGGACTTGATGATCTCAAAGGTCTTTTTAAACCTAATGATTCTATGATCCTACTTCCCTTATGAACCATGAAGAAAGGGCTATGGGCCGCACAACCTATTACTAACAACCAAAATCGACACCCTGACTTCACACTGGGTGTCCCAAACATGAAGGATACAACATGCAAAAAGCCCCTAAAATTTCATGAAACCTTTAACTGCATTGAGATCTACTTCCTGTCTATGACAACTTTTAATAATACCTTTGCCATCAAACTTGAGGATGTTGAACACTGATAGAAGGTTTAGAAATTGTAGGGGATTGAGTGTTAGTGGCCTTGCGTGATGCATGTATTCATCCTCGGCACTGAACTAGGTACATGCTGTGCCTGAAAACCTGTGGTAGAATGTCCTGTGTCGAGCCCAACTTTCATCCATTCAAGGTGAATATTGGAGCTCTGTGGATGAGCTAAAGGCTGTCTGGACACAGACACCTTTCCTTTCTAAATCCTGCAGTTCTGTCCTGTGCTGCCAGGAACCAGGGTGTGACCTGAGTGAATCTTGCACTTTTCCTTTATAAGTTTGTATCTTTTAGCAAACCTTAATTTATTCCTTCCAATCAGTGATTAAGATGAAGTAGAACATAGGAGGAAAACACTGTGGAGAGAACAGCTCTTCCAATCCAAAAAAGGAGAGAAGACTGTACTTTCTCTCTGTCTTTACCTAACTTAAGTTTGGCCCTGCTAAGAGCATCTCTAAATGGATTACCTTAGACCCTACTCATTGAGAAATGAAATGCAGGATCCACCCCAAGGGCATTTCTATCTTTGAGTATTTTTTTGTTATAGTTCATGTGCCAAACTCCTCTGAATACACAGCTCTCAGGCTGCCTTGCCTTACATTAGTCGAACAGCTTTTTCTGCTCTGAACATTAATCTGTCCTTACCCACAATCCAAACGTCCTCTAACATTTATAATGACAGATGTGTCACTACTTCAGCAGCTTCCATATGTCCTTCCTATCTCCTGGCAGGGCTCCCTTATGTCCTCCCTGTCTCCTGGCACAGCTCTACTATCAAGAGTTAGTATTCCTTTCACTTTTCTGTTTGGCATTTCCATTTCCCTCATCATTAATAAATGTCTGTTGTTGAAGTTCTGTGATGCCCTATTAATCATTCAACTAAAGTTACTAGGCACTTTTTTTATGCTTAGATCAATTTTTTTCCCTGCTTGCTCTTGCACTGTCACTTTCATTGTGTTTGAAAAATGCCTGCTATCTGTAGATTTTTCTAACCAAAGATTTTCTGAACTTTCATCAAATTGGAAGGTGTGCAAGTATTAAAATATGTAATAAATTTCTATCAACCTTCACATTCATGATCCAAAGAAAATTCAGTTGGAAACCAAAAGATGCAGATTTAAAAGCTCATAGAAATATTATTCCAGGAGAAAAGTCAAAATGTAATCAATGAGAACAGATTAATTTGTTTCTTTATTCTCGGTCTTCAGTCTGAAAGAGTTCTTTAAGGGAATTAAATACAGGTCTTTGTTCCTTTAGAAAATATCAATTGTAGGCTTTCCATATTATCAAAATTAGAAAAATCAGTTCCAAAGAGGTGAATGATCTAAACTAATTCACTTAAGAATCTACAGTATAATTTAGTATTTTTCTAGTACATAGCTTGATCCAAAGTGGAATTTCCTGTATCTGCCTGAATCTGCTTTGACTTCAATGGTAAAATTTCAGAAGTTGCTCCATTTTCATTGAAGCTGTTGAAAGTCTAAATAATCGTAAGTAGACGAGTATAATAGATGCTAAGAATCATATATTTGTTTTATGTAATTTTATTTTCCTACATCTGTTGGTGCCTTCCGGAGTTGGAGATACACAACTGCTTTTAGTAGCAATCAAAACTTGTTAAAAATACATACAATAAAACTGTATTTTTATTCCCAAGACATTGAAGTCAAATCCACAAGAGAATGATAATAACTTCTTAAATTGTAGGAAAAGTTACTCTGTAGCCATTTTGAGACTACAAAGGATTGCAGTTTTCCATTTCTGAATAGTAGTACTCAGCTGGTATTCCTGGTAAGAAACAGAAAAATGCTTAAAACTTTTTTTCATAAATTTCCATTCTTCAGTTGAACTAGAAGTCAAAACAAAGCACAAACTTAATGCATTTTGTAACCTTTTGAATTCAGGTCCAGAAAGAGAATAAAGAGTAGTCCTTCCTACTCATTTATTGACTTATTGACTATTAAAAGAATACATAGAGGTTTTTATGAGCGAAATTTAGTTCAGATCACTTCTATGCTCTGAATAGCGCTAAAATGTTATGCTGTCATCAGGAATATAATCAGTGCACCTGAATGTTCTTCCCATACGCATGAGCACTCAGAACTTGTAGCACCAACAAATTAATAGTCTGCACTGCCTTTTCAAAAAGGAAGTGAGACGCCTGAGTCACTTTACTACTGATTCAGGGATTGACACTGCCAAGTTGCTTTGCTATTTTGCCAAATTGCCAAAGTAATTTCCCAAAATCCTAGCAATCACAGTCTAAAATTTATCACTGTCTTTATGTGGCAAAACATCACTTTTAAAAGACAGAAGACAATTAATTAGTAACCCAGTGATGTTCAGATGGCAATAGCAAAGCTCTATAGGAAGAAGATACATTGACAGCAGTGAAAATTGTAATTTTTGTGTATTTTATCTAAAATCACTAGAGAGAAAGGATTTTAAATGGTGATTCATCTGTAGTATTATAAATCATATTGTGGTTCAAGAAAAAACTTAAATTGGATCAATCCCAGATACAGCATACTATTTAGTTAAGGTAAATTGTCTCTTCATTGACAAAATGTATGGTTACCTAAAAAGTTTCTTATTTCTCAGAAATGGTTGTAGATTAATCAGGTGATGGTCAGGTTCACCACTCCTGCCCTACCACAGAGGAAGCCCGTGCCCTTTCTCCTTCCTTTAAATATGTCCCAAATTATCTTACTGCCAGGCACTCTACAACCCTCCTGCAAATGTAGTTCTGAGTTTATTCTTTCCCTCAACCCAAATGTTATGCTGAGCCTTGGGTAATGTACCTTTGCCCTTCCTAAGGCTAAAAATTCCTCAGGGATATTCTTCTGACAGCTTTCTGTCTCCTTTTCCAGAAAGGCAGCCCCTTTCCAGAGTCTTCTGCTGTAGCTGTGTGCTCTCTCTTGCTCTGAACCCCATCTCTAACCATATGTAGTTTATCATACCACAGGACATCCCTCTCCCTCCAGGAACCAAATATTCTCCACTAGAGAGTTCTAGCATCAACCCTCGCCTGCTCATATGTAATTCTTTCCAGTCTTCAGCCATGTCATAGCTGCAAGCATTCCCTCTCCCTATGGCTTAGCCATAGAGAGCCAGGACCCTCTGATTCATCCAGAAACAAAATGCTATTTATTTTTAAATCCCCAATTTCCTTTGACAGCTCCTCCCTATCGTTATTTCCTTTATAGCTCTGGGCTTTCCCTCTCTCTCAACCCTCAGCTGTGACTTAGACAAGCCACCCTTTGTCTTCCTCACCTCCCTCACTGAGAAGAGTCATTCTAGTATACTCCATTTTCCTTTCACAGCCCATCTCTGGATATTTTACATTTGTAGCTGGGGACTTTTTTTCTTTCTTTCCCCACCTAACTGTAGGCTGAGCCATTGGTCAAATTCCCTGCTCCATCAAGGGACTAAACCAGTAGCAGCTCTAATGCTGCTTGGTTTCTGGGGGTCTCCATGGAGTATTTTGCAGTAAGCTTGTGTTTATGCATGTCTGTGTATAATGCACCAGAGATTTAGGAGAACAGTATCATAGAAAACATTAACAGTTTAGAGTATTTGCTATCAAAGCAGTACTAAGAAAACAAAATCTTGCTGTACTGTGGTGGGTTGGTGTCCGGCTGGGTTTTGGTAGCAGGGAAAGGGGCTACAGAGGTGGCTTCTCTAAGAGGCAGCTCCTGTAAGAGGCTTTGAGAAGCTCACCTCGCTCCGAATCAGATCTGCCTCTGGCCAAGGCCACATCTATGGCACCTCTGCGAATAAATATTTAAGAGTGAAAGAACCTATTGATCGAGTTCTTTGTTTGTGAGTGTTTGTTTGTGAGAGGAAGAGAGGAAGGGGATGTGAGAGAAACAGCCAAGACAGCCAGGTGAGTGAAGTAGGAGAAGGGGAGCTGTGTTAGAGCAAAGGTTCCCCTGTGGCCCGTGGTAAGCTGGTGGGCTGGCCCGCGGCAGAGCATGGAGATCAGGTTGTCCCAGATGTTGGCCTGCAGCCCGTGGAGGACCCCAGGTCAGAGCAGGGGCCGGGCCCGAAGCAGGCTGTCGCTGGGAGGGCGGCAGCCCCGGGAGGGACCCACACTGGGGCAGTTTGTGGGGAGCTGCGGCCCTGCGGGAAGGACTCACATTGCAGCAGTTCACGGAGGGCTGTCTGCTGTGAGAGGGACCCTGCGGTGGGGCAGGGTAGGACTGTGAAGACCTCTCTCCCTGAGGAGGAAGAAGCAGCAGAGATACTTTATGTTGGACGGACTGTAACCCCTGTTCCCTGCCCCCTGCGCTGCTGGGGGAGAAGAGGGAGCAGAGCTGAGCCCGGGAAGAAGGGAGGGGTGGGGAGGCAAGGTGTGTTTCTAAGACCTGGTTATATCTCTTGTTATCCTTGGTGGTGGTGGTTGTTTATTAAATCGATGTTTTCCACAAGTCGAGTCTGTCTTTTGCCTGTGACCATGACTTGTGAGTGAGCCCTCCCTGGCCTTTGTCTCGACCCTGGAGCCTTTTGGATGTATTTTCTCCTCCCCCATCCCTCAGGGACGGGGTAGGGGTGAGC